AGCTAAAGTAACTGTGCTTTTTAAAAAGGGAGATAAAAATATAATAAGCAATTATCGACCAATTTCAATTTTACCGGTATTTTTAAAATGCATCGAAAAGGTGTTGCAATATCGCCTAGTAAGTTTTTCTGATAAATATGATTTATTAAGTTCTTCTCAATTTGGGTATTGAAAAAATAAGTCAACCGAGAAAGCACTGCTTGAACAAAAATAATGCATTTTGCGGGAGTTTGAGAGGGGGCACTTAATGCTAGGTGTATTTATAGACTTTACGAAAGCGTTTGATTATTTAGACCACAACATTCTTCTTAAAAAATTAGAATACCAAGGTATTCGAGGAACTCCTTTAAAACTAGTAGAATCATACTTGAAACATCGTAAACAGTACGTAAATATAGCTGGTTATAGTTCTGAAATCAAACATATTACCGCCGGAGTCCCACAAGGCAGCATACTTGAACCTTTCCTTTTCAACATTTACATAAATGACATTATCAATATCAACTCCGTGACAAAATTCATCATCTACGCAGATGCTACTAGTGTTTTTTTTTTTTGTTTTTTTTTTTTTTCAGGTACAAACGGAAATGAGTTGATAGACAGGGCGAACATGGCTTTAACTCAGCTTGAGGCTTGGGCACAATGTAACTGCTTGAAGATCAACACTAATAAAACAAAAGCAGTACTTTTTCGGCCAAAAAATAAAATAATATAATTAAACAAACACATTTTTTGAATTCATGCCCAATAGAAATGCTTAGTTCCTTTAATACTTTGGGAGTTCTCTTTTTAGAAAATATGTTATGGGACACACATGTACATAGTGTTATTTCAAGATTATCACGTGTTATTGGTCTAACACATCGTCATCAGTTTATACTCCCAACTAGCGTTAAATTATTAATTTACAACTCATTGTTTTATTCCAGTCTAAGTTATTGCCACCTTGTTTGGGACACTACCACGTTCATAAACCTAGAGAAACTATATTTGTTACAGAAAAAAATGTTGACAATTATTTCAAATGTTTCCTATCACACTCAACAATTATTTGAACGCTTCCGAGTACTTGATATAAAACAACTATATAATTATAGGCTGACTTCCTCTTTTAAGTTGGAACAAAGTAGACACTCAAGCTTCTTTTCTGAGTTAGCCTCCCTACAGTGCCGTATACCTACCTACACCACTCGACACGTGGAATGCTGGAAATTTTCCAAATGTAGTAATAACTATGGGTGTCAAATGTTAAAATACACGCTCCCTAAAATACTAAATTGGCTAGATGAAAAAAAAAATTTAACATTGCAGAAGTGTCTTTCTCTGAACTTCGCGGTGTGTTTTTAGATCTGAAACCATAATAAATCCACTATTTTTGCTTTCAGACAGTGCTTGTATTATGATTGTATAATTTCTACATGTTTGCTCTTGTACCATTTTTTGCTCCACCAAGTTGTATTTCATTGACAATAAGGGGGCCATGGGCTCGTCAAGCTGTCTCGACACAGATTTTTTCCATGGCCTCCTCCATTGATGTACCATTGATGGAAATAAAATGCATTATTATTATTATTATTATTATTTCCCGTGCGCCTGCTCACTGACAGCTTCTCAGTGTACGAAAAGGAATTTATTTGGCAAAAAAATACGAAGTGGTCAGGCAGGAGCGTATCACGGGTGACGGAGATGTTGACGCGCTATAAAAAAGCGCGCATGTTGATTTTTTAGAAGTTGCAAAGCGGAACACAATTACTCCTATCTTAACATACTCGTTTTTTTTTTTTTTTGCTTTCTTTTTTCGTTAAAACTGCATGATGCGAAAACACGCCAATCAGATTCACACGGTAACAGCAGCACCAAAGCCGATAGTCTCCGCCGCACTCAACTTCCTCGGAGATGGGGGGGGGGGGGGGGGGGGGGGGGGGGGGTCCTGGTCCGGGTGGTGCTCGCCCGATGACAGGCCCCGGGAAGTTGATAAAAAAAAAATGTAAAAAAAAACCTAAAAATTGTTTGATCCCGCTGAGTGCATTACGACGTTGGTTGGCTTTACAGTGGCCAGTCTTGCCACGTTTATTTCAAAACAAAACATGAACTCAACAGTGAATTAAAATTAAACCCCACACTTTTGTCCCCAGTTTCCAAAAATCGAATCGAAGCCAATCCCCGGAGAACCCTCTCGGCACTCCTTTTGTAGACTTCTGGGTGCCTGTTTTCCCCTCAGGGACGGACCAATCACTTCAAATTCCACCACTCCCGTGGTACACTGTTACCCAATGGTCGGCGAGCTGTCAGCCTGGCGCTCCAACCGCCAAAACCAAATTCCTTCTAGAGTCATTGCCTGCATTTTTCCCAGTCTGGCTGGCGCCAACAGCTCAATTATTACACCGGGCAAAAAGCGACAATTTGACACCAACTGGCGAAACCCTCTATACACAGGCACACTCGGTTAAAAGCCAAAGGCAGCTCCAAGCGCAGGCTCGGCCGCGATGCCCTCGCAAATGCTTCCTCCAAAACGCCGACACCAACATAGAAAGCCAAAACAAGAATAATGATAACGTAACTTTCAAGATAAACTTTTCTAAAAAAAAACACCTTAATTAATAAGCAGGATTTCTACATACTTAAGAGCCGCCGTCCCCGCTCCTCTGGTTCTTGGTTCGTCCGTCCGCGAGAGGGCGAGCGGACGACCAAGCAGAGGGCGGGCGCTTATTAAAAGTGTGTTCTTGCCCCGTATTGCGGCGCTCTCGTCTGCAAAGCCGCAATAGCTGATTGGCTGTGGGGCAAAGGCTCACAGGTTTGAACATGTTTGAATGCGGAACGGCGTCCTTGCGGCAGGAAGCGGTTGCTTGCGGCACGAAACCCGCCCAATGTTTGACGGTTGCAGACGGCATACTTCAGTCCTTTCGTCGTCTGCAGTAGGCATTTCGAGACGTCTCGAGGACCGGAAGATGCCGTCACAAATATTTCAGAAACTAGCTTGCGTCGCAGCGCTCCGCAGCGCTCCGCAGCGCGACACAAGAGAGTAGAGCCGAGCTCAATTTTCCAATGTCTTGCGGATAGACCAATCAGAAGCCGAGAAAGATAAGACAAGGTCACCTCCCCCGCGCCCGTCGGAGCGGCCCTGCGGCGGCGCTGCTGTCCCCGCATGTGCAGGCGCTTTTCTTCTCACGGGAGTTTTTTTTCTGCGCAAGCGCGGTGCCCTGCACCTGATAAACGCGCTCTTCTTTGTAAACAGAGCGTTGGTGTACATTGAGATCCCCGAATATGATTACTCGATATAAACTACATGTTTATTGAAAAATTTTTAGACAATCAGTTGTATGAATGGTGGATTCCCCAAAATTTGACTTTCAGAGGAATTAAATGAGTCGCAGGCGGGGCCGTTGTAAACTGACCCCGTAGGTGATGACGTCACGACATTGCGCTGTGCTCCAAACATACCGTTGCTAGGGTCGTTGTTATGGACAAATCTATGGTGGCTCGACGTAAACTTAGAATTCGTCCGATAAAAAAAAAAGTGAATATTATTTGTAAGCCTTCTCAATATCGAAACACGAATACCCTTTATATTGTCTCAGTCCCATAAAGCGATGATGAACCTTCGTAATAAAGTTTCACAACCGATTTTGCCTTGCTAGAAGACGAAACTTCTCTTCCAGGGGTCGATCAACTTTCTGAAGGGATTTGGAAGCGAAGAGTACAGGTGTACAGCTTTGATCCACGCTCCAGGTGCGTGACCGCGCGAACGCCTGCCGTGGAGGCTTCCGCAGTAATTTAGAAGGGTGAAAACACCGTAAAGCCAAATCACGTGCGACAACGACGTGAAGTGTATCGAGGTCCAAGTGCACGCCAGTAGACGTTTCGAGGAGTTCTGACGGCACAGAAGTTGCATCAGTGCACAACATCTGTGATCAAACGAACTCTCCGTAACGGATATATAATTTACGGCTTACCTGATGCTTTCATCCAGCTCTTTCGCTACGCGGGGTCCTATTAAAAACAAAAAAAATAAGCAAAACTTTTTTTTTTTTTTTTTTAGAAAACGAAGTTTGGGGTCTCGAATTGATCACGTTAGGGTCAATATAATGGCTTCCTCATTTCAACGCAGGACAACTGCAAACCAAAAAGAGGTACTGACGCTGCTTTAAAAACATGTTTTGTACATATGCTTCTCTTGCTGTACTTTTAGAAGATCTGCGTGGTTTTCGTCAGACAGTATTTCGTAAAGCACGCAGATACCATTCGTTTTTTATAATCCTGATGAGTTTTCTTAGACCTAGCATGTTCCCCATAAATAGAAGATAAAAATCGCATCATTATGCAAACAATTCAAACCGTTGCAGACGACATACTTCTGTCCTTCCGTGTGCATTCGTCGTCTGCAGTAGGCATCTCGAGACGGCTCGAGAACCGGATGTTGCCGTCGCACTTATTTCAGAAACAACCGATTTTCGGCAACGTTCAGTCGATGTAAGTGTTAAATCTAGCCTTCCTATGTATATTTGTTTACGACGTTTAAATTCCACGTCCGGATTTTTAAACGATAGTTCTTTTGAAGCGAAATCCAGTCCTATGTATTCGTCCATAGCAACGCCCCTAGCAACGGTTTGTTTACTGCAGTGACGTCACACTTACGGGGTCAATTGCACCGTACGAGACACGACCAGGAAACGACTGTTTACGAAGTCATTCTCTTTATTTGGCTTACACAGCGTTCTACCTAACTCCAATGGCGTGCGAACAAACAAAAGGAAAAAGTCAAACTTCCTGATAACATGAGGAGAAACGTAAATATCAAAAAATAAAAATATAAAAGGGAATTTTTCCGGAATTTGAAAGCAGAAGAATAAGAATTTCTTTACAATTAAAAAAAAAAAAACACTTCTGCACTCAGGCAGTGAATCTTGAATAAATATGTTCCTGTTGTCTTCGTTTTGTCCTCGGTATGTCTTGGCGCATTTCTGGTTCAAGTTCAATCAGGGAAGGTAGTCCTTGGAGCCCCTTTTCTTACCGTTGGCCCTCTTTAAGCACTGCCTGAAAATAATTAAAACCAAAAAGGTGAGTAAGCACGAACTGCATAGAGTTACCAAAGTTACAAGGGAGACATGATATGTACACATTCAGGGAGACATCAGTAAATGTTCCCTGCTAGTTGAAAGAACTGTGCAGTCTGTCCTTGGTCCCTAAGGGATTTTGTTCTTTCGTTGATTCTTATATTTTCACCAACCCGATCTTTGTTCTGAAAAATGCACTATCGGGGTCTGACTTCGTGAGAAAAATAAGCTGCGACGTTGTGGCAATAGTTTTCTTTTTTTTTTTTTTTTTTTTTTTGCTGAAACGTGGTGTTCTAAGTACAATCGACATACTCACAACCGCCTACGGTTAGCAGCTGGGACTTGACTGTTTCCACCTGGTCTCGCACCGCATACCCCGTCAAATCCGTCTCCTCCAACACTTGGCCGAGATAGCAGGCAATGCCCTTGTAGATCCCTTCGCTTATATCTGGCGACTGGAAACTCACGATGCACTACATCGAAAGAAGTAGAATTTATTAAACACTCCCCCTTGAAATCGTGGAAAGACTAAAATTGTAAGAGCGAAATGCCGGTTGTAATCGAGGACATCTCGAATCTCGGGGCATGACCACGATATGACCAGGAGGACAGAAACCAGGACTGGGCAGTATCGCGACACCACCTCAGAGCTAGATGCTTTCGAGTATCCGTATCTTTGTATTAAGGTACCCTTGGAAGATGCATTTGTATCTCAGTAGTGAAATGCATTTGCGATGTCCCATCGCTTGCATCGCGGTGCTCTGCCAAAAGTAGGTGCATCCTTACACTTGTTACCGAAGATTAACTGTTGGCTTTTTACAGTACACGAGAAACCACCTTTTTGGCACAAGGGGTCCCAGTATATGTAATATGAACCCGCTGCATAACCCCCTCGTCAAGGGGAAGCCTTGCTGCTTGGTATATCACAAATAGACACCAAAATTGAAAAGAAAGGTGGACAGACTAGCATAAAAAAACAAAATAGACTCTTAAAAAAAATCATTACACTTTTTTTGTTTTAGCAGAGTGAGCGCTGCGCAGAAAGCGAGTGGAGAGTAGGAAATCACTCATGAACAGTCGAGAACTTTAGAAGAGGCTAATATTTTTTGTATGGAGATCGTTCAGACGCCGTGCAGGTTGTGGGTGGCTTGTTGTCCTGACAATTACGTAGCTTCGAAAATAAGCCGAGAACTTGCTAAGGAGACACTTTTGTACATGAGTGTAAAACAAAATATGTCTATAACGACTAACAATGTGTAAACCATTTTTTCTTTTTTTAATTTTGGATAGCTGTGAAGAAATCCACGTCATAGTTATTTTACTTATCGTATACATAACGTGCATTCGTGTCAATGGAGGGCCAGATTTCAGGCCACACGGGTAACAAAAAAAAATAATCGTATGCCTATTTTGTTTCTATTGTATAGGGAATGTCATTTTACTTAATAACAGGGGATAAGCAATAATAGAGTTATACACACACGCACTAACAAGTACTGAAGGACTGCTTTTCTCAGTGGTACGTTTGTTTAGAATGGTTACATGGTTACATAGTAACATTTGAAAGAAAATACATTTATCGATATTACAGCACTTTTCTGCAAGGTTAATCTGGTTGGTAAAAGCGTATATGATTATAAACTTACACCATTTTGATACAACAGCCGTCATTAAATTATTTTCATGTGTTAATGCATATGCAGCTTTTTCCATCTGGAGAAATGTTCAAATATTGGCAAGGTTCTTTTTATCTTCGAAACTTTAGAGCTTTTGCTCTCTAAATATTCTTTTATCTGTTTTCAACAGATACCTCTCAGCACAAAATTGAACATTTTATGATCAAAAATTTCTTAGGAACTTTTTCGAAGGGGGAGGGGGGGGGGGGGTAAAAAAAACTCGGAAGTCTAAATTGAAATAATGAACAACAGCATGTTGTAGCACGCTCTTCGTACCAAATCCGTCCATAGCTCTGCTACGACCTTTCTAGTGTACCCTCGAATTGTATGTTCCAACCACCAGATTAATACAGCACGCTAACTGCTTCCCCAACTGTCTTACTCAAATCAATAATCCCCCGTGTGGCTGATGATGGCGGCGAAATACATCTTTGTCTGAGTCAAGCAAGCAACGAAGTATTTTATCAGAAGCAAGAAGTAATCGAAGACACACTGGATCTTCCGGAAATCTTACCACGAATTGGTCGACAAGAAGTTTGGAGAAGGTCGGCTGGAAATACATTAGAAAAAAATATCAGCGCATTGTTTAACGTTTCTAATGCACCATTATACATCGGCCATCACTTCTATTGCTAAAAATTCAAAACAAGAAAGCACTTTAATTAGTAAATAGGGAGCCTAACAATTCTACTAAAATAAAATGTCCATATGAACCGATACGAGGTACGCCCTATAATACCATATGAAAGAGGCTAAACAAAAAAAAACATATATGTTTTTTTTAATCCTGTAGAACGTATAACTCGATTGAGTATTTCGCCGTATCTGCATCCTCTCCCTGTCCAAGGACATACAGATTGCATTCTTTCGTCCACCTACCCTTTTTCAAATTAGCGCTATTTTATTTAGCTAGATGAGGCTACAGCACCGAGATTATTTTGGGTTTTATGCGTATGCATATACGTGTATACGATAGGGGAATGTCTGCTTGAACAATGTAAAATTTTGAAGTGCATTGATAAAAACACTTAAGTTTTATATAGCATTGCCATAAGGGAAAGAGTGCAGGCGAGCTGGTTAAACGGCACAGTTGAAAACTCTGAAAAAGGGGAAATAAAAAAAGAAACGGACAAGACAATACAAGTTCTCAAACGTAGCTGATTTTATTGACACGGAAGCACAAATAAATGCACTTTGAGAGGGAAAAAAAGGACAAGAGGGACCTGGAATCATATTTAAGCGTCTACCTTCTTTTGCGGTTTTCACCTCGCGGTTCGGGCAAGCCAGTGGGCACGGAGAGAGGATCTAAATATCAGTGCGTCACATTTTAACCGGGCGACGCGGAAACCTCCTCCACCTACGGGGGCGACCCGCGGTGCCGAAAGCGTGCAACATGTGAAGTCTTTGGTTTTGGGCTTACTACTGGTCAGTGCCGCTGGAAGCTTCTTTTTAGTCGAAATCGAAGTGTAAGTGGCGCGAACCGTTTCAATTATTTATGAAGGTAGCTTTTCTTCAGTATTTTAGATCAGAAAGGAAATAAATGCAGTTTATAAAGTACGAAAACAAGAAATGACCCGTCGATATACCCGCCACCAAGCGGTGGAAAAGGAGGCGCATACTAGGAAGGGGTAGTGGGATCGGGCACCGACGAGCGGCGAGCGTAGAAAGGTCCCGGATGTACGCGGCGGCGCTGCGGTCGTATACGGGCTTGAGGATCCGACCGGTTCCGAGCGTTCCGAAGGCTTTCGGCGAGTAAGTTTGGCTTGCGGTTTGGCCGTTTGGCGGTATGCCAGCGCGAAGTGGCTCCCGTTTTGAACTGATCTTTACCCCGTGTTTGCTCTCGTTTGTGTCCAATAAAGTGTCAATGCCGAATTAGTGTTTAATCGCGCAGCAGATGCAATGCGAACCGCCCTGGCTTCCCGCTTCATACAGCCTATCCAAAACATGCTTTAGTGGCGCCTTCTCGAGCCGTCGACACGGAGTGCGGCAGCCGTGAGCTCTCTCTGAGCTCACTATCCTTCCTATAGGTCACGGCCACTCAAGCGACCACGACGTCATAATGGAGGGTATACTGTTTGCCTGTTTTTCTTTTTTTTATTATTTTAATTTGCTGATAACTTTTAGAATAAAGCGAAATTTGAGAAAAGTTTCATTAAGTTACTCCGTTCAGTGCGCTCAGGTTCGGTGCAAATTAAAAACCAGTCAAAAAGTCCTTGCAGGGCCCCTTTAAACGACCAACATTCAGACCGCTTCCAACCTCCCACGCACCTGGCGCGGAAACAGACATACCCAACGAACTGAAAAACAAGCCCGAGGTCACCTGTCAGTTGAACCACGAAAGCTCTTTTACAACAGGTGACCTCGGTCTTGTTTTTAAGTTCGTTGGGTATGTGTGTTTCCGCACCAGGTGCATCGGGGGGGGGGGGGGGGGGGGGGGGGGGGGGAGAGAGAGAGAGAGAGAGGTTAGCCGGTCTGACTGTTGGTCGTGTTGAGTCGTGGTCTGCCCCATTACATCCCTCTTTTTCTTTTTTTCCGTTTCAAGGGGCATTTATTGGTGCTTCCGTGTCAATAAACTCAGCTGCATTTGACAACTTGTGTTGTCTTGTCCGTTTTTTTTTTATTTCCCCTTTTCTCAGGGTTTTCAGCTATGCAATATTTAGATTTTTTTGTTTATATGCGTTATTTGTATGTCATTGTGGAACATGGGAACATGCCGATTTTTTCACTAGCAAAATTTTTGAGGAATTATTAGCATTTTGAGTGAGCTAATTAAGGCCGAAAATATGTCAAAGGATGGCAATACGCTTCTTTATGTTACATCAGCAATGTGAAGTTAGCAAGTAACCAAGAAATCAATCATATTAAATCCATTTTCGGCTTTGCTATTATCATAATAATCTTTATTCAAAGCAAACGAAAATAATAACAATATGGTCTTTGATTGGTGCTTTACAAGATGCATTTTGTAGCCTAACTCTGTAATCTAAGAAATAAGAACTTACGTCGGTCGGCAGTACACTCGTGCAGGCTTCGCTCTGCTCACACTGGAAGGAGATAGTTTAAAGCATTTGAAGCATAACTTTAAAAAATGCAGTTAGGATGGTGCAACACTGTCGATTACATGTCATAAATTCTTATTTTCTGCATTACCTGCAATGTAGAGTTTTTATGCTATTGCGGTGTATAATTTGATTGTATATGTGTGAAATTACAAGGGAACAAAGGGTTCCATCGAGCAATATCTTTTGTTTTCTTGCTTCCACTATTTCTGTGCTCGACTCAGAGTATCAAGCTAGATGTTCCAATGTACTCGTAGTTCTATGGTATCTGTCTCCAAAGTAAGAAGGTCTCGCGTGCAAAACATGCAATACCATATACAACAGATGGGGCACCATTCATTGCCTTAGGCATGGCAACGACCAGAATCAGAAGACTATGTGAGTAACGGAACGAAATCATGGATCGCTTATACGCTGTGCTTTAAACGAGATAATAGACCCTTTCCGGAATTCAGTCTGGTCACTTCGATCACTATCATCATCATCTCAAAAACGGCGGTCTTCTGTTTACTGATGAAGGAAGAGGTTTGAAGATGCTTCTAAACAAATGATTAGAGGCCTATATATTCTAGACGTTAGGGCGACGTGAAGCAGGAATCGGATGCAAGATCTGCGTGAGCGTTCACTTCTAACTCGGGCCCTATCAATCTGTTAGTGCGCACACTCGGCTTCAAAGCCCCTGGATGTATAAAACTCTATCCAGGCGTCTATGTAGGTTGGCGCATCGTTCTGACTGGTTGCATCCTTTTCGCCACTGACACTGAATGAGATTGAAAAAGAACTGTACAGTGAAGCGCACATTCTCGTTTACCATTGACTTGCGGAGGTGACGGTGCCCCATAAAATACTGCGGACCACAGGTTCACTGCCACTATTAGTACTGTAAAAGTTAAACTGCCATTTGAGTCACCAGATGGCACTGAATTCCGGAAACGGTACATTAAAAAGCGCCTGCTGTACGGTTCATTTCCGGTGAACGTGCCTAAAACAGCGATCACGTCGCTACTCCGTCATACGGAAGACAGTCTGTCTGAGGCGTATATGGAGCGCAAATTCGTCTGCTTCTTACATGGGGGCTGCAATGACGTGAGAACGCCAAGCTCTTATTGGCTGATTGAAAAAAAAAAATAGTAGGTAGACCTCAAGACATTTAGCATTGAGTCTACCCGCTTTATTTTCAACCAGAGCCAATCATAGCTCGGTGTCGTTCTGACGTCACAGAAACTTCTGCGCAATAAGCATCGGCATGCCTCAGACATTGTATAGAGATATATAGAAGAACCTATTTATTTTTTCTAATTTCCCACGCTAAATCAAACAGGAAAACTGACTCGGTACAAGGGTCACGTGACCTCGATTTCAGCGCTATATTTATCGGGAAACTAAGTTGGTGTATAGGTCAGATGACGTCTGCTCACCTGGCATAAATTCCCCCGCTCATTTTAGCGGGAAAACTGAATCGGCGTATCGGTCACCACGTGATTTCAAATTTCCCGCTAAATTTGGGGAGAAAAGCTTTACGGTCCCCCTAGTCACGTGACGTCAGATCACGTGACTAGGAGGAGGGTGCAAATAGCGGTTCGAATCAAATAGCGCTGCGTCATTCATAGCCTTCGCTGTGCTGGTGAAACTGACGTCATACGGGCTCTCTTTGCAGTGCTGAAGAAGAAAAGGACGCTGCACCATTCCATTCGAACCGCTATTTCCCCACCCTTACAGGTGACATCAATGTTTGCGCTAAACTTAGCTGAATTGGTGGATAGGCCACGTGATGTCAATTCCCGCGCTAAATTTAGCGGTAAATGGCTGGGCGGACGGACGGAGAACATTTTGGGATTTGAATTGTTAAGTGTTTCAGGCTTTAATAAATAAATAAATACACGCAGCACTTTACCATGGTTCCGTCGGGTTGAGGCGCAAGTACTTGCAACACAATTGGCGTTCCGCAAGTGGCGTCGGTTATCTTCGGGTCGACCTGACAGAACAAGTCGTCGGCGTGGGCCCCGTTCACACAGTACGAAGCGAGGAAGTCGAGCGCAGACACTGCGCACACGTCAGAAAATGCAAGCAACGTTAAAGAAAGATGGCTGTCTGATACCAGCATCACAAGCAGTATGGTCTTCAGAGTCCTGGGAGTTCCTGCATGCTAAAGAATCAATAAACGTGCTATATTTATCGAGCAAGATTCGCGGTCGCCATTTCTCGGGCACGCGAAGCGTGTGATTGGCTTAGAGTCCTCGCCGAATGCTGACGTCACACTCGTATCCAATACGAGCTCAGCCGAGCTCACACCGAGCGCTGATGCAGCCCTCGTGTCCTATAGATGCTGAGAGTACATGTCCGAACAATGTTGGACTCAAATCACTGGCGCAAATCATTGGCGTTTGTTTTCATTTGAATCACCAGAAACTTATTTTTGGGCGTATGCTATCGTTCACCATCTAACAATCATTCCTTCGTTACCAGTCTTCATGACGCAATCTCATTATTAATGCGCTTTCCTTCTGCTCCAATCATTTTTTGGGTGCCTTTAACTACCCAAATATAGTCTGGACTGGCTTACATGCTTAGTCACCCATTTTTATCTGACGGGACTGACTTCATAAACTTCTGTAACGATTTCAGCTTCAGTCAATTGATGACTCTTCCTACTAGAATTACCCATAGAACGGCCACCAGATTGGATCTAATTTTAACAACGTCACCTTCTTTAATATGTTCAATTGGCACCATGCAGGGCATAAGTGATCATATATTAATACATTTTGTCACCGATGTTCCCGTTAGAAATGCTCCAAAGAATCAGAAGAAAATACGCGACTACGCGAAAGGTAACTTCGAGGCCATCAACAGCGAAGTTTCTCTTTTTCTTGATGATTACTTGCCGCTCTTTTCGGAACGCTCTATTAATAAAAATTGGGAGTAAATTAAAATGCAGGTTGTGCATCTTACTAATACATATATACCTTTGCGCAAAAAGTTCCGTTTTTCCGCAATCACCCATGGTTTAACTCCATATTAAAGAGGCTTTCTAACAAAAAAATACAAACATTTCGAGCAGCTAATTTTTCAAATGTTGACTCTAAATGGTCTGCATACCCAATTGCAGCCAATAATTATAGAAGTGCTTTTGAAAATGCAAAGGCTACTTATTTTAATGTAACTTTACCACCACTTTTAACAAGCAATCCAAAGCAGTTTTGGAATGTAATTAATCGAAATGAAAAATCGTCAATACCATTGTTTAGTGCTTCAGGAAATGCTGTGCCTTTTAGTAAGTGTGCCTTGTTTTGAATTCCGCCTTTCTCGCTTCATTTTCAGACATCAACGCGTCATCTTTACCTCCATTTCAACATACTACATTTGTTCCTATGTACCCGGTTGCTATTGATGGCTGTGAAATCGTTAATGTAATCGATAATTAAAAAAAAAATATCGTGCTCTGTGGGAGTAGATGCTGTTAATTCAAAATTCTTAAAAACTACCAAAGAATATTCTTCTATAATACTTTGTAAATTATTTAATCAGTCTCTTAATTGTGCGTGTTTACCTGACGACTGGAAGGTGGGAAAGGGGTGCCGATACACAAAACGGGTGATCAACATTCTCCTTCTAATTACCGCCCCATATCACTAACAAGCATCCTTTGCAAAATTCTTGAGCACGTCATTTTTTCACATTTAGTAAACTTCTTGGAGTCTACTAAGATAACTTCGTTCCTCCCGCCCAACACGGTTTTCGTAAGTCATTTTCGTGTGAAACCCAGCCACTAACTTTCACTAACGACCTTCACCTTATTCTTGATCGAAGTTCCCAAGCTGACTGCATAATCCTCGATTTCGCTAAAGCATTTGATATGGTATCACATAGCCTACTACTTCATAAACTAAGCAAACTCAGTCCGGTACATTATCTTGGATTCACGCCTTTCTAACTAACCGGTCTCAGTTTGTATTTGCAAATAACACGTCTTCCCCTTCGGCTTCTGTGACGTCCGGGGTGCCGCAGGGTTCTGTACTGGGTCCTCTTCTTTTCCTTATATATGTCTATGACTTACCCTCCTGTGTTTCATCTTCCGTTAGCTTGTTTGCTGACGACTGCGTTGTATATCGTGAAGTGACTAACAAATCCGATGTTTCTTCTCTTCAGTGCGGCCTTGACCGTGTATCTGAAGGGTGTGACTTATGGCGTATGCAGCTTAACACTAACAAATGTGAGGTAATGAGGGTTTCTCGGCTTCACAGTGATGTCTCTTGTTATTACCTGAATCACACTCATTTACAACAAGTAACAACCTACAAATATTTGGGAGTTCATATTTCATCCAATCTGTCCGGGGAAACTTATATTCTATACGTAACAAGTAACGCCAATCGTATGCTGGGTTTCTTAAAACGAAATTTTTCAGCAGCCCCCTCATCGCTTAAACTTCTTTACAAAACGCTTGTTCGCACTAAACTAGGATATGCCTCTTTAATTTGGGACCCCGGTACTGGCGTATTAACATCTGCAGTTGAAACGATTCAAAATAGATCCGTCCAATTCATATTTACTAATTATCACCGCGCTGCCAGCGTAACATTCATGAAATCAAGTTTGAACCTGCCTAATATTGCATCGCGTAGAGAACTCTTCCGTTTGTGCCTGTTTCACAAAATTTACTACCACAATCATACTTTGCGTGACAAGCTATTAGCATCTCCTTTTTACATATCACCACATCTCGATCACCGACTCAAGATGGGCGTACCTTCATGTAACACTACTACTTTTCACAATTCATTAAAACCCCGAACCACGGTGTTGTGGAACCAGCTTCCAGCGTCTGTGGTATCAATATCTGACAGCGTCGCTTTCAAAAATTGCCTTAGCAATGTTCAGATTTCAGCGTTTCACTAATATGTACATATTGTTTTGCATTCATAGGTTGTTATTTATTGTATGTTGTTGAATTCCAGTGATGTAATCCGCTCCCCTCTGTAATGCCTTCGGGCCCTGGGGGAACTTTTAAATAAATAAATAAATGCTAGCTAATGGCGTGCACTTCTTTTTATAAGGGTCTATTAGAGCAATGAAAAAGATACTCACAGTCCTCACCACCCATTCCGAATATCCCTTTTGCCAACGGGTAGAGATCCGTAAACTGGTAACCGTTGAAGCCGAAATCCAGAATTTTGTCCAAGGCGCACTGAGATTCGAAAGCATAGTGTTCACCTCCTATTGCGAGGAAATTTGTCTCCAAATCTAAACTGCGAGTGCCGCCATTCTTCGGAGGCGATTCTCTGAAATTCAATCGCTTCACAGCTAAGGACTGGTGAAATAAATATATCCTACTCCGCTTCTACATCTCAAAACTATACGGTTGTTGTTCAAAGTGGCCCATTTTGTCGTGATTGGTAACTCCAGTCACGTATATGTCACGCGAAAAATGAATTCCTATGCAGACTTGTACGTAACGCTTTACAAGAAACAGGTTATGGCTCTTCGAACCGATCACATTTAATTCTACTTTTTAACACTTATATTACTTCGTTTAAGCTGTAACAATCTCAGCAATATAATATTTCTAATTGGATTATCAGTATCTGGGGCTGGACAGAAGAAAGGAGGAAAAGACCGTCTCTGCTGACCTAAAAAAGAAGGGATATACGAGCACCTTTATCCAACGCGTTGCCCGTCGTCAAGCTTGAGATCACCGACGCCAGCAACCACAAGCATGTACGCAGCCACGCTCAAGATTGCACATCTGCGTACCCTACATCAAAGGAAAAAGCGAGACCCTGGCACGCATGCTAGCCAAACAAGGAATCAGCGTGGCCCACAAGCCGATGTCCACTCTTGGGTTACTCATGCCCCGCCCAAAAGATTGGCGTCCAAAAGAAAAAACGCGGGGCGTTGTTTATAAGATCTCTTGTGCAGATTGTCGAGCCACTTACATCGGCGAGACAAATAACTTTAATAAAAAAAATACGCCAACACAGAAAACGACGTTCGCAAGCTCGACCACGAGGGCAGCGCAGTCGCTGAGCACTGCGAAGTCGAAGACCACCGGATAGATTTCGACAACACCAGCATTATCGACGCAGAGACTAACAACCGACATAGGCTTTTCATCGAGTCCTGGCACATTCAAGCGACGCCAGGCAACATAAATAGGTGCCTTGGTGCTTTACCAACATTGTACATGAACGGGCTTCGCCATATCCGTGAAAGAAGAAGATCAAGAAATGCGCCAAATCCTTAAAAGAAGAAGACCGAAAAACGCCGCTCCTCAAAACGACCAACAGTCGCCCCTGACGAAGAACCAAGTCGGTTCGAAACGTGGGGCTCTTACACGTTTAGGACTTGGTTGGTTGCCATATTTTAATTATTGTTTTTCCCAACCAGAGAGATTTCTCTCGAATGTTTAGTTTCATGCAAAGATATGCTTCATTTCCCTTGAAAGCAGTTTGTATGATCCCGGCAGACACGGCACGAAAAACATACAAAGGTACGCGTGGAAAATCAAAGGCTCTGTTAACACGTTCTTGTTGGAAAATAACGGATTAGTATTATTATTATTACATACGAAGAAATTTATGATATATTCAAAGCAAACTTCTTCTATTCAATACAATTCTTGAATCCGGTTTTGTACCTAATGAGTTAAGAATCTCCGTTGTCAAACCCCTGTTCAAGGGAGGTTACAGAAATAGGGTCAAGAACCATGGCCCAGTGTCCATAGTTCCCCAGGCACAAGAGAAATTTGTATATAATGCAATGTCTTCATTCCTTGGAAAACATGAGGTTATGTCTCCAAATCAATACGGTTTTATTGCTGGCCGAGGAGCTCAACCAGTCCCGAACTCACTAAGTGATGAGCTAAATTTTAGCTTCGAACATAACTTGTCTACCTGCTCCTGCTTTTTAGGTGTTTGTGAGACTTTTGATACAGCTAACCATCTCACGTTACAGCACAAGCTTTCAGCTTTGGGTTTTCGGGGCACTTTCTTGTCACTGCTAAAAAAACTTTTTGCATTAACGTCCACAACTACTGCCGTTAAATGGTGTATATAGCAGCAACCTCTCATTAAAAGCTGGCGTTCCACAAAAAGGCTCTATACTTTTGCCGCTCCTGTTCAACATCTATATGTTAATGATATGGCTTGCGCAGCTACAAACTATATTCTATACCAATACGCCGATTATACTCTTGTATTGACTCCTCATCTTTCATACTCAAAAGCACTGGAGATGCTTCAACGTTCTTGTAATGAGCTCATGAACTTTGTTTAATCAAAATCTGATTGCTATAAATGTCTCTAAAACAAAGCTCGTATGCTTCCACAATCCTTTAAAAGTTGTCTCGCTAAATATTCCACTTTTTCTACAAACACCTAAATGTTTCTCATGCCATTGTGATTAAGTTCCGAATTTCGAATTCTGAAAATGCGAATTTCATGAAAGATCAGAATCAAAGAGAATGCCAAGATATTCAAATATCTTGGCATTCTCTTTGATTCTGATCTTTCATGAAATTCGCATCTCACTCAAATATGTTCTAAACTGAGGAGTGTCCCCTGTTTGTTCTATAACATCAAAACTTTCATGCCCCTCGGTTTGCGCAAGCGCATAGCTTATTCATTACCCTACACCCATTTGCGCTATGGCATAACTGCATTTGGTGAACGCTCGAGATGATGGCACAAAAAAGTCAACGGTATTTTAAAAGGAATTTTTGTAAACGTGTGCTATGGCATGAGTTTTTTTTTTCTTGTTTTTTTTTTTATATATTTTAAACTTTATCAGTGCCGAACTTTCGATCTTTGTTCCTAGAGACAGTAGCTCTCTATTACAACTGGAAGGGCGACTTTAAATCTACTCACTCCGTCTCGCGGCAATTGCGGAAAGTTCCACCCTACGTCGTTCTAGCATGTTATACGCGGTATTGGAAAATCATACGTTAATTTTATGTCCCTCACATTTTCAACGAGTTCCTACCAAGTCTCTCGAAATTTACTTCCAAAAAGAAACTTAAAAAAGTACCCCGCAATATTTCTATCAACGAAGAAACCACGTGAGCATCCACTTAGTTATTGTTTCGTGATTTTTTATTGCTTGGTGCAGAAACTTAATTTCTTCTTGTCTATCAATAATGTGCTCATTTATTTGTGAGTGGCACACTTTGTCATCATGCTATAGGAGAAACTACTTTAGCTTCTGTGCAATACACGTTATATGCCCATTTTCTAATATTGTTCACTAATCTGCTGGACAAGAACCTGATCCTTCGAAATTTGGCTTTCGATGAAGTGGGAGTCTGGAATCTACATCTGAACTGTATATCTAAACTGACGCTATCTTATTCTCTTGTGTTCGTGAGTTTTTCCTATTACTTTCTGGAACATTCCTGAGAACACTAAAACTTTTAGGTTCAGTCCCACAAGCCCTTGTTGGCTTAGACAAACCTGCCTTCTGCTCTTTTAAATTAACCCAGCGTAATATTATTATTATTATAATTAAACTCACCGTCAGCAGTGGCATCACTTCCTGCGAAATAAATCAAATGAACACATTTATCTGTAAGACATCATTTGATTCATTCGTGTAAAATAAAATTGTTTTTGTGCAATACGTAAACATTTTCGGCACCCACAGCGAATCCAGTTTTCAGAGTTAGATTCCCTATTGAAAAGAAAAAGCATATGTACAGATACTACCAAGTCTCATAATACTAAACGAAATAACCATATCGCATGTGATATGCATCTTTCTCAATGAAAAACCCATTGGTCATGGATGGACGGATGAATGATAACTGCTGTACCGTTTGTAACGGGCGGTAGCTTGCGCCACCTAGCCTAAAAACGTTAACAAAAACCTGACTTCCCCTTTCAAGCCATCCTGTTTCTCTGACTATTACCAGGTCATGAAGATGATCGCCAGGCAGACCTTTGGGGGAACGGGCAAAAAAATTAAAAACATCACCCCCCTCCTCCTCCCCCCGGTGAGGGAGTTCCTCTGGTTGAACCTTGTGGGCGCCACCTAACACCGGACCCACTGCGGGACAGGGTTGAGACTTTGGGCCGTAGCCACGCGGGAGGAAGTCCCAATATTCCTCTCTCCCGCCTGCTCTCCAGCTGTGCTAGTTAGTTGTATTCATTCAGTTTTCCCGAGACAATTTCCACCAGGACCCCAATCTCATCCGTGTGCCACACTGGCCTCCTGCCGGACATTTACGGGGACGTTTGTGATAAATATTCACTGGTCTGGTTGACCGCTCGCCTCAGTTGTGTCAGTATGTACTGAAGATGCTGCCGGCATAGGTGGCGAAACGTCGTTTTGTTTTCATTCTTGTTGTGTTAAGCCAGAGTGAACGTTTTTAATCAATATCATCTGCGTACATGAGGCCTGGCAATTTTCGCCTCACTGTTTTCCCTCCCTCTATTAACGATATATCTGAAGCCCACTTCACTTTTCTGGTCTTTTTTTAAATTTTTCTTAAGTATATCAGGAAGAGTTGAGGCGACGGAAGGCATCCCTGCCTAAGCCCACGCTTTATTGCTGCTGGCTCTGTGGTTTCAGCCTCCCATGTTAAAGTTACTGCATTGTTCATGTACGCTTCGTGCACAAACTTCACCAATTTCATATTTAAACACGATTCTTTTAGCTGTGTCCTAAAATGTTCTGATTTACGTTATCATGTGCTCCATGTATGTCTACAGATGCCGTCCATAACGGTCGTTGGCTTGTCTGCACTATCTCTATGCATGCCGTGACAGCATACAAATTATCTTCCAGTCGCCTATACTTGAAAAACCCATTCTGCATGGAGTTTTAACATTTCTTCTGTTTCTGCCCGTTAACCCTTCACCACCTGCATTGCTAGTCTGTAGAGGACAGATCTTACCGATATGTGGCGGTAGGATTTCATGTCCCTGTCGCCTTTACCATTGTACAGCAGCCTTATCCTGCATTGTCGCCAAGACTAGGGTATCTCTCCCTCAACAATACATTCTTCGATTGTTTATTGCAGCATAAATTTAGCTGTATTGCCAAGTATTTTCACAAGTCTCATTGGTATCTATATGCCATTTGGTCCACTCCGATTTGGGGTTTGGTCATGGTTGTCTATCACATTTGCTCTCTTAGATGGCACATAAGTGGCATTATTTCCATTCATGTATAAGTCTCATAATTGTTTTAGTGTCGATAGTTTAATTAAGTATATCTGGCGCACAGTACCGACAATTATGTGTGTATTTTAAGTGCATTTATCCGTATAAGATACGGAAGATTGACTTGAATTGCTTAAGATTGTGAAGTTCGTTGTTAAAGTTACGTAATTTTTCGATTCTCTTAGTATGAATTTTTCAAATTGGGGTATGGTTCGTATTGGTGCATGTGTTTTTTCTCCACATGGTTGACCTGTTCTGTTGCTGGATTTACATGGGACATGAAGAAAGACTTTATTTTGTCTGTAAATCTATTATATAAACTACTTTTTTCTTTCATTTTACCAAAGAAAGATGACATTTTTGTATACACAAAATGAAATATATATGGAGACTGTATTTTAATAATCCTTAAAAAGTCCTTGTATACAAGTACTCTTGCCGTCACTTAACTGTACTTCACAGGAAGCCTGCTAGTGTGTATTCAAGAAATGTTTGGCGTATGCAACCCCCCCCCCCCCCCCGCTGTAATGCCGAAAGGCGCTGCGGGTATTGGATAAATAAATAAAAATAAATAAATACCAAACAAAACAATGTTTATTCAGTGGTTCTTACCATTGACTTGCTTATAATTAGTTTGTAACACACACAAAAATAGAAGTTTTAAGGTTTTTCTTTTTTGGTTTTTTGGAGAGCATGAAGCTCTTTTATACACTTAATTGGGGAAAATTAAAATAGGGACCAGACATGACTCTTAGAGCTAAAATAAGCCAATTATTGTAAATTTTCTTAAATTAAGTACCCAGTCATTTTTTTGCTGAACGTTTGACATCTAGCTGTTTCCACTCCAAATCTATCCATTTTTGAGCACCTGACTACCTGGAACATTACCTTGGAATTGGCAACACTGGCCACGTGCCGTCATGGTATCACGTGACGTCGTGATGTGACGCTACGTGACGTGACGTCATAATCTCAAAAGGCATTGTTACTAAATTTATCGACAAGATTTTCCCCGCTGAATTTAGCTATAAAATCGGTTACAACAAGGATGCAGTACCAGTAGGCTGGTTTAACGGTCAATACGCGGCTCCCTCCATAAGGACCATTACCGTCTTCTCATACACACCCGAATTTCGGGAAGACCTACTTTAAGTCTCGAGTGACCTGGTTCTGACGCCTATCAAATATGTTTCAGAAAAGCGTTAAAAAAGGAGATACAAAAGAAAACTTACCTCCGCCGGTTTCCCGCACAAGTTGCTGTCAGCGCCACTGTAGCACTAACAAAGAAGGCACATAGTTAGAAATTGATCCCTTGCCAAGGCCAGCCTGTCTCAGAAAAGTGATTGAATATAAGCAGTTCTTCACTCAAAACATAGAGATACATAAAAATGAAAGCCGTTTACAACTCCCTGTAACGCCGAATTAGAGCGCAGCTCTTGAGGAGGAGGATGGAATGATACTGAGGGGAGGGTATGCCCCTCCTCCCCGCCGCTTCCCTCTTCATCCTGCCTGCTATTCCTCCTCCCCTCCTCGTCCTTCACCCCCCCCCCCCCCGTTGCCCCCGTGAGGTCACGTGGCCCCGTGAGATCACGTGACCTTCGTGACGTCAAGGGGGTCACGTGACCTCACGGTTACCCCGACGGCGACGGCGACGCCACTCAAGCCGGAAGCGGGCGCCTAAGAGCTGCGCTCTAAAAGGTGCAGACTGGTCCTATCGTGACGGTGTTTCAACGGGCGGCCGTATACAACCGACTCTCGCGGGTGGTTTAAGAAAATGCCCCAAGTCGATGTTTGAGTGTCGATAATCTACTCACAGATGAAGCTCAGCACTGAGATAACGCAAAGACAACGCAGCATCAGTGCACAGCCAGCGCTGACTCATTGCTGAACTAGCGCTGCATTGTTTTGTGTACGCTAGAAACGGCGAAAATAAATGCAACGGAGCGCAGATATAGTCCTTTCCCGCGCTTATCACCTGGGCCAAAAATGCTGAATAACTGAGCTGTATATAGACGCATGCGCTGCGTTCTGTATTTCATGAAAGAGAGCTACTGCGCATGCTCAGAACATATTCCACAGTGCAGTTGGCAAAGATGGCAGCTCACAGAAGGCGATTATTGGAAAGGTCTCAAGCGAAGGTCAGTTCTATGTCTACAGGCGGTGTAGTATATACGAAGGGACAGACTTCAGTCAATCTCGCTGTGGAGGCGCTCCGCTGCACGAGGTATGCAACGAACTTTGTGGACTCGCCGCTGGAGGGCGAGTCCACAAAGCGCCATTTTGAGAGCGAGAGAGAAAAGGAGAAAGGGCTACCGGCGCTTTCCCCCTTTCTGATTGTGTAGAAAGAGTGAAAGTCCCGGATGAGAGGCTTGGCCGGTGTTGGGCGTCTGCAGTGCCCCAACTTCGTTCGCGCTTTCTTCTACGTTTCAAACTCCCAAACTTAATTAGAGCCGTGGTCTTCGATAGCGACAGTCCCCCGGTCATCGGGACACCATTGCTGGATGATAGGGTGCACGAATAACGACAGAAAGCGTCGAATACTGTCCGAGGACCTATGTAGCTTGCATGGAATCCGGCAAGGCAAGTGCGGTTGGAATGTTTTTAAGCTCCATTGCTTTCCGCATGACTGGAAATGATGAACCATTTATACATTTTTGCTTGCAATGGGCCTATTTCAACGTAGCCGCTTTTAGTTGTAATCAACAAGCGATACACGAAAGGGGAACCTCAATTAACTTTGTAAACGCCCGGAGCTCCTACATATCGTCTTGCTGTGCTGTTTTTATCTTCGTGTCCCTGTTCTTATATCTCCTTGCGAATGAACGACAAAGACGCTCTAGATTTACTTTTATCGAACCGCAGAAAGCCTCGAAGCAGCTACGAATTATTTTACTATTCGATGCAATATTTTAAGTACTCGTCTCCAATTTCTATCGCTGTCACGTTCGCTGCCGCTGCTCCCCCCGTCGCCACACTGGCGGATGCCATGACTTAAACAAAGAAACGTGCACACTGGGCTCGAAAACGCAGATCACAACACGAGACGTTCCTGCAGCGACTATCAAGCGCCTCAAAGCGCCTTTGTCAACGGAAACAACCCACCAGCGGCACTTCAAGGAGCACTTTTGTCGGCTCTCTGGTATCGCGCAGGAGATCGCGATTAAAAAAACAAACAAACAAACAATAGAACTACGTTTTCAACAATTTCCAGCCTCACCCGGCGGCGGAAATGAGCCTTTAACTAAGTGTTGTAGATGATAAAATCGAGTCAGTCAGCACTGCAAATTATCACTATTAAGATAAATTCAGTTACGAAATTTTACAAGCTGAAAAAGCAGTTATCATGAGAAAACTCGCACGCACATTGCGAGCGTACCCCATGTTCATCGGCGATACAGCGTTCGGTGCGCGCTCCATTCACGAAATGTTCCGAGCGAAGTCGAGAGGATGGCGTGGAGGAAACGCCTTTTCGGTTTACGGACGCAATCCACTGCCGCCGGAGACAGGGGTCATGTGGAAAGCGATGGAGCTCAAAAACATTGCAGCCGCTCTCGCGGCGTCTCGCCTTGCCGGGTTCCTTGCAAGCTACATATGTCCTCGGACAGTATTCTATGCTTTCTGTTTTTATTCGTGCACCCTATGACCGAGCAATGGTGTCCCGATGACCGGGGGACTGTTGCCATCGAAGCCCGTGGCTCTAATTAAGTTTGCGAGTTCAAAACAGAAAAGAAAGCGCGAGAGAAGTTTGGGGCACAGCAGACACCCAACACCGGCCAAGCCTCTCATCCGGGAATTTCACTCTTTCTACACAATCAGAAAGGGGGAAAGCGCCGGTAGCCCTTTCCCCTTTTCTCTCTCGCCCTCTTTCAGTAAAACGGTCTATAGAGCCTGTGTAATAGAGAGTGGCCAACTTTTCGGGCGTGGTCACGTGGTTTACAAGCCGTACGTGTTTGCCATATGAGCTGCGAGGAGGTGACGAACGCATTGATCGTTTGCGAGCGAGCGTCTCTTCCTTTCCTCCTGCTTTCCTCCTCGCCGCTCTATAACGCATCGCGTGCGCACTTGCGACCAATCGGCGCTGGATGCATCCGCCATTAAATTGCAAGCGCTTTCCGCGGTTTAAGATGAACCCTCTTTACAATCCGGGCTCTCTAAGATCACTTGGTAGCCTTGTCTCCCATAGGGACCTTAAGTGTAAGCGTTGAGCAGCGCCACCAGGCACCACGGCCACTATCGGAACTTCCACTCTATAGCGCTGCTGCCATGCCTGCCGACCGAAAATAGCGAATAAAAACGAACGTATTTGTCGAAAAACAATGTCATTCAGGGAGAGTATACGCTTGCCAAGGGAGCGTCTCCCATGCGTATCCCTGCCGCTGGGCGAGTCTACCATGTACAAACCGATTCTTCTGGCGATTAAATGAGAGTATCGCTCACTTCAGTTGATCCTGTCGTCCTTCTTGCCATTTAATTAGGTTGTGTAAAGGCGCCTTCTACACCATTCGCTAAAAGGCGACTTGAGGTGGACAAAATAGAGAGGGAAACCTTCCCTTTTACAGTTTTTTCTAGCCTCACATGTGTTCCGATTGTATATACTCCTTTCACATTATCTGGCTGGCGGAGGAGCACGAAACGAAACAAAAAAAGTTTCCAGTTCAGTTGAAAAAGGTATGGCATTAGAAATAAAACAGCCTTTCGTGGCTAACGAATACATTCCTAAACCTACCGTTCGGCATTTCCTAAAACAAACAGCAGAGTCCCAGCAATAGCTGCGACACCTTATTGGGCACCACTAATGTATTACGTACTTGTGTGTCTTGCACCTTATATTAAGGAGCTATCGCCAATATCTGCTCTGAGTGTGACGTGCTCGATTTGTCGTACTCACAGAAGCCCTCTAACAGACACAACGTGAGGCTCAGGTGCGCCGTGATGTAACGTTACCGCAAGAAGGGCCCTCTAGCGGGTGCTGCGCCAGACTCAAAAACGCATTTCTCCTCAACGCATGCGGTTTATTAGGCGGCGCGTGGCTTTGTGCTGGCACGCTCGCTTCAAAAGCATTGGACCCGAAATAGATTCTTGAGAAAAACTTGGAGGGTTTTGAGGACTATCTTCAAGCATTTGGAGACTTCCTACGGAGCCCTACAAGACCCTACATAAACATCATTTCAAGAGGGCGGCTCATGACAACCAGTGCCGTATATGGGCAGAGTTTGGTCAGTCTATGATCTCGCCGCCGTAACGCTCTCCTCCCAAGTGAGCCAATCAGCACGCGGCGTAGAGCGAGAGGCATGAGCGCATGCGCGTGATCTCCCGGCTGCTCCCACCTGAGTGGGGAGGGCCGCCATCTTCGATCATTCTCCCGGCGGAATGCGTGGGATCGGCGTCTAAATCTCGATTATTTTCTTTTATATCGCTGGCTCTGGCAAGAAAATGACATTCTGTTATTCCTCGGTGGGTTAAAAAGCTAATAAATTAAGATTTTTCGGCGTATGGCCACAAACTTTTATTTAGGCGAAAAAGAAGTCGGCCCGTAGCAGACGACGCGTAGCCTCAGCAGTGCTCTTCTCCGACCAGTCTCCGACAGCGTTGCTCAAAAATGGCGGTCGTCTCCTCTGTGCTCCCTTCTTTCTCTCTCGCTCCTTCGGCGCTCTCCTCCCTTTCATTTACTTTTCTCCTCTCCGGCGCCTTCGTCGCCACACCCACTGGCCAAACTCTCCCAATATACGGCTCTGATGACAACTATCCTTGTAATAAATCACCGCAAAAAAATGCAACGGAGCAAGATATGACAGTCGTGTACTCACCGAGTCTATTCCATAGACGTTCGGCTGAGTCATATTGACGCAGTACCCTGGGGGAAAAATAAAGAGAGTTTCGTGCTTTGGCCGGGACGGGTGAAAAGGCGGAGTGGTGACTTGTCTCAAGAAGCCCATAATTCTGTAGGACCAAATTTGGTTTCGGTCTGGCAATTTAGGGCCTCAAATGTCCCTCTAAAAAAAGGTATGACCAAGACTGATAGTCTTTGGAGATAGTCTAGGTATCTTGGCCCTAAATTGACCAACAAGTGCCAGTATCGGTCTTCACTGCTAGGTTGTTCCGTTTTCAGTTGGCAACTTCGGCCTTACACTGCCAAACAAGTGTCAGAATTAGGCTTAACTGTTGGCTGTTTGGTTTATACGTGGCAGAACTTTGGCTCATGTCTGGCACTTTGGCAGTCACGTGACGAACCAAACAAAACTACCACAGAAAATCCAAAGAATAGTACTCTGCCACGAAATAACGTCTTGGAGCAAATTTGCTGGGCGTTTCTCTAGCGGTGTGCTTTCATTACGTCACATAGAATGTCTTATGCAACTGAATTCAATTTTATTACCATTTAATTTAAATTATATTGAGGTCTATTGCCAATTCTCTCATTACTTTATGCCCCAACATAATATAAAATACAAAACTTATTATAAAATATTTTAGTTAATTAGCGTACAAATTAACCAGTACCGCCTTCTTTCAGTGGCCCCTCGGACACCAACGCAGCTACACTAAAAAAAAAAAAAAAACTAAGGCGAGTTTTTTGTTTTTTTTTATATATATTCCGGATCCTGTGAATAGAACACCCGGTATAAGTCTATAATCGTAACCATAATTATATGTTTCTGTCGTGTGCTCAGGAACAGCGAGATTCCCTGGATCTATGATTGACAGGAGAATGACTGCACATTACGAGATGTTGACGCCGGCTCAACGATGTCGTCATAATACAATATTCAAAGTGTGTTGCGCAACTAGCTATAATTGTGCAATTAAGAATGGTAAGAGCAATATTACTAAAGAACAAAGAAAAAAACGTAAATTCAAAATAACTAACATAAAACACAAAGAAAATATCTCGTTCAGAATACACAATAAATAGAATATCAGTCATATCAGTCAGAGAAGACATCAACGTTTGAATGCCTGAGCTGAAGATGTCGATACTGCAGTTCTACTAAAGTTGTAATAAAAATGTATGCGGGTCATCTGCACCATCAACCGATAATAATATGAATGAAAATATATAGTCTATAAAAACACATTCGAACATCAAAAAACAATATACTGCTCACCACCAGTAGCTTGAGTCAGGCAGCTAAAACTAAGGCACAACGCCACGGCAAACAGAATGGTCGTCATAGCTCTTGTCATACGTCTTGTTTACGGAGCGCGGTCGGTGTGTAGGCAGTCCGTTCAAGCCATCCGGTTTATATCGTACTCCGTTTCATGCTTCATGTCCTTGAGTTCGTTGTCGAAGAAACTTGACAACGCCTGGCGTACGTCCGGGAAGTACGGGAGGGCATTAGTGCCAGGTTACGAACCTGAACTCGTCTGGAACGCTGCATCCTGTAGAAAAGCACGTGGCGGTCATAACACACTTCGTAGAACAACCGCTGCGTTTTGTTAAAAGTTTACTGCCCATTTCCTGCGTGGAACAGCATAGGCATATCCGCAAAATTCTAGGCCGGTCTGGGGCTGTGGGCGGAGTCGCCATGCGGGACGGGCATTCCTGTGTTGTTATGGAAGAAATCAGCTAAAACTTAATTTAAGACAAAACCCAGAGACTGGACAAAAAACGAAAGATGAACACAACACACAAAGTTGTGTTTTGGTGTTGTGTTCGTCCCTTGTTTTTCCCCAGTCACGGGATTTTGTCTTAAATTATGTTCAATCGTCATCAGCAATCAATCAATCAATCGAGTTTATTGTAATGAGTTGCATCATACAAATTATTGAAAACCATCTGGGCCCATAGCCTTCTGGCTAGTTTGGTCCAATTTTAATAATAACTTATTAGGAAGGCAGCACACTTAAGGAATATTACAGGAAGTACAATAAAATAAAAAGGAAAAAAAAAAGACAAGAGAAAAGAAAGAAAGGCAGAAAATGACTTAGTTAACCACAGCAAGTAATTTATTATTGTACAATACCGACCTGGCATAAGAAGAACGAGTGTATTCAAAGTTGGAAAAAAATTGTTATGCATAACAGAATACGCGAGTGAGTTTCACAATCGTGGGAGACATGTTCCATTAAGAAAAGTATAGTATTTTAAAGCGCTGTTAAAATTGCATGAATGGGTGATTGAAGATGGTAAAATGTTCCAGATTTTAGTTCCGCACGATTGCATCAGTTGCTCGCAGGAAACGTTAGGAGACCGTATAATATGTTAAAGTGACCAGATGTGTTTGCCCTTGTTAATCGAGTACCCTTTATTAATTAAGATGTTCGCTGGCAGCGGATTGTTTCATATTAATATGTTATTTATTAAGCACGCAGTCTTATATTGTTCAATTTCCAGAAATGTGAAAATATGATACTGACGGTTGGCGATAGTGGGAGCATGTCAAGATTCAGAAGGCTCTCTTCTGTAATTTGATCAATGGCAAGAGGCAAGTGTCATAAGTTACGCCCCAGGCCTCAATGCAATATGTTTAATGACTATGAAATATAGGAAAATATGCAAGTTTCATCGTGGAAGTGTCGAAGCGCTGTTTTACCTTCGAGACATAACAAGCGTACGTTAATTTTTTTACATGTGTTTATAATGTGCCAATGAAGACGAGAATCTAATGTTACTCCCAGATATTTACACGAACTAACTTCTTCCGGGATTGAATTGCCGATGCAAATTTTGAAACTTTCGGTATTAATATCTTTTTTCTATTTGAACGGGAAATTATATACTTAGTTTTATTTATATTTGAGGTCCATTTGTTAGAATTAAACTACTCCTGAAGAACTGTTAGTTCTTGATTCATAGTGTTTTTGTAAGCTACGCAATGAATGGTCCGTGTAAATTAAAACGGTATCATCAGCGTACATTATTACGTCAGAGAGGACATGTTAGGTAGGTTGTTAACGTACAGGGAAAAAAAGTATCGGTGGCAGCTCGAGTAATTGACTCCCTGAAAGCATCTAAACAAAACCGCGAAACTTCTAAGAGCCACGGGGGGGCGGTGGGGGAGGGGGGGGGGGGGGGGGGGATTTTCTTCAGCGCAATACACGAAACCCGAACTACTTTCAATCTATCCGAATCAGAAGCAGTCCAACTGTACGTAAGGTATCAGTAGCACAAGACTACCAAACCGCAACCTGTCTTTCGATTGAAAACGCGTTCCATTTCTCTTTTTGGGGAATTACTCGTGTGACCGGGAGGGTGGGACGGGAGGGGGGGGGGGGGGGGGGGCGGAGGGGAGGGAGCCGTGAGCCGCACTTTAACACGCGAAGGGCCGCATGCAGCTCGGGAGCCGCAGCTTGGCCACCCCTGGTCTATAGATACAAGAATGTGTTGCTCATTTTTACCAGTAGCCATCACCGACTTGTTATGACTGATTCACTTGGTCCGATTCACGTTGCGCTTTTCAGTATAGACGTCGTGCATAGCAGTCACCGTCGACGCTTTGGCAGCCCGAGTGACATCGCGACTGAAAATGGCGAGCTGAATCTCATCATGCGAATCCGGTTTTAGCGTCCCTTCTGCGGCGTTCACGTGGAATGAATCGTCCCACGTCACAATATTTACGCGAAGTTTTGCGGTGTTACGAGCCTCGTTAATTTTGTTCAGGCCGCTGAAGTAGTAAGACATTGCTAAGACGTAGAATCAACAATTCCGACGCGAAAAAAGAGCACGGACACTTACCGCGATGTCGACTACATCAGATTCCAAGGGTTTGTTGATGCGGAACGCGGCGCTTCTTACCCACACCCCATCGCGCATGCGCGGCAACGGCGACTTCCGCAAGCGGCGCTCCGGTTTGTTTGTAAACGTTTCAGTCCTGTCAGTTCATTCTAGTTAGTCAGTTCAGTCATGTCAGTCAGTCAGACCAATGAAAACGGGAATTTTTCAGCTTACATTCTCTTTTGCTAAAGCCCGTGAAATGTGACTAGCTGACTGACTGGAATGAACTGACTGGACTGACTGACTTACTGAACTGGACTGACTAGATTAAACTGGCTGGATTGGACTGAATTAAAACGAATGGGCCTTTTTCAGAGTTTGGCCACGATCGTGGCACGCCCTCGCGGGAATTGCTCGAAATACTTTTGATCGCTCCGGGACCGTCGCTCCGTCGTCCGCGCCAGCGCCTACAGTGTTTCCCGGTCCGTGTCTTCGTCCGTCGTCTCCGGTTTTTCTTTTTTTATTTTTTTTTCTCCAAAACTTGTATTTACCAGTTTGCGGGTTTTCCAGTGGGCCTACACAAATATAGTTACACGGAGCAATAATGGTGCGAATTGCTGTGAAACCTAATATGAAAGTTTTCGTAATTTCCTGACAAACGCGTATACAGACTTGTGAAGTAATCCGTTACTTTTTCAAGTAATTCTGTAATTGCCACGTTACTTTTTTGGGAAGTAATTTGTAATGCAATTTCGTTACAAAATATTGGTAACGGATTACTTTAATTACTCGTTACTTTTTTTTTTAATGTGAGCATAATACAATAACTGGAGCAACACGAGCAGAATATTCAGCAGCATAAAGAGTGCAAGTTCAATCAAATAGAAAACATCAGGAAGGGGAGAATAGCCGAAAAGAAAACACGATTTTTTTGTATGACCGGTCACTAGAACCACTAGAAAAACGGGCAAGGCATGTACAAATATACGAAAGGCAAAGATCAAGTAAGACAACACCGAGTAGGCTCTCTTTCGCCTTGCATCGTGTTTTTCTTCTTTTCCCGGGAAGAAGAAAGCTCTTCGTGTATTTGTTTTTGTATTTTACACCATTTCACCCTTTCCAACTTCTTCGACGTCTCCCGCCACCTGCACATACATCAAACACGGGTCCGTACCCTCCCGATTTGCGAGCTCACAACTCGCGTA